GAAGGATCAAGGTCTTGTCATGAACACTAAGGAAAATTTTATAGGCGAAGAAATAAAATTTTAATGAGGGAGTACAAGCAATACTTCAATACATTTTTTTTTGAAAGGCGAAGAAATTATTGATTTGGAGTACAGGGGTACTCCGAACCCTTTACATGTTTTAAAGTAGGTCAGCTAAGGGCCCCAACGACTTGAAATGGCGGGACTCTTTTTTAATCTGCCTTAGGAATACAACAGCCTTGTGCTCTTAAACTACCTGGGACAAATTCAAGCAGCTTACTGGATTAAGGATCCAGTCTGTCACGGTGAAGAGGCTTCCTCTCCTTTTGCCTTTGATCCATTTAAAAGACCTCATCTGGACCAGCTCTAATAGTCTGCCGGACTCTACCTCTTTGCCTCTAAATAGCTTTTCATTTCTAGCTAACCAAATAGACCAAATAACAGAGAACCAAATGCATTCCCAGCCCCTCCTCACCTCTTTGATATTAAATATGAAAGGATGCTGATCAAACACCCTCCCACAATCTCTATCTAGCACCTGCTTACTACCCCACCACCTATAGCAATTGTTCCAAAGACCCCACGCAATTTTGCAATGAATAAAGAGGTGATTGGGGTCTTCACTAGCTAAGCCACAAAGAATGCACTTATAGTCTGCAATGTCTTGAATGATTCCCCTCTTCAATAGATTCAGCTTTGTTGGGATTTTATCTTGCAACACTTGCCAGGCAAACACGGAAATTTTGCTCGGGATGTACTCCTGCCAAACTTTACTAAGTGCTGGTCCCCGCTGGACACTCCTGTGAGCCCTTGTCAAGGCCTGGTATGCTGATTTTGTTGTGTATATTCCTTCCTTGCTATGGACCCAATTCCTCACATATGATTTTCCCTTCTCTATTTTAGTGTCTTGGATCTCTGCCTTGAGTGCTGCCTCCTGTTGTTCCTCCCAGCTGAACAGGTTTCTTCTCCACTCAAAGTCCCACTTCCATGAGTCATCCTGCCATTTTCCCATTTGGGATATCTTTTTATCTTTTCCTACAGAAATTAGGTAGAGTCTAGGAAACTTGTTAGCAAGACTCACCCCCCCCACACCACTCATCCCACCAAAAGCTCGTATCTTTCCCATCCCCCACTCTAATTTCTAGACCATCTGCAAGCCACCCTTTGTTGTTATCTTCCATGTCACTTAACCTGCAAATATCCCTCCACCATGAAGACCCACAATTGAAACCCTCCCTCAACCAATTGTAACTTGGTTCCCCTACCTTCCCGTACTTCTCAAAAATAACCTTACCCCAGAGCCCCTTGTCATCTCTCACAAGTCTCCCCCACCACTTGCCTAACAAGGCAAGGTTAAACTTCCTTAGATCCTTAACCCCCAAACCACCGAGATGTTTTTCTTTGCACACATTTTCCCAATTGACCCAGTTAATCCTCTTCCCCCCCTCAGACCCACCCCACAAGAATTTCCTACGAATTTTGTCAAGTAAAAAAATTGTACCTTTTGGGATCACATACATCGCCATCCAGAAGACGGGGAGACTTGACAGCACTGAGTTAATAAGCGTAATCCGACCCCCTAGAGATAAGTATCTGCCCTTCCATGTAGCTAGCTTCCTTTCAAATATTTCTACCAATGGTTTCCAAAATGCGATCCTTTTGCAACTTCCTCCAACTGTGATACCGAGGTACTTAATTGGCAAGGCACCTTTTTTGCAGCACATCACCCATGACATTTTGTTTAGCCAATCATCCTCCATGCCAAGTCCCACTAGTTGGCTTTTATTGAAGTTAATTTTGAGACCCGAGAACAGTTCAAATGCTCTCAAGATTCCTTTCATTGCCCACACATTTTCTTCCGTAGCCTTACCGAACAGAATCGTGTCATCAGCATACTGTAAGTGTGAAATACTAAAACTTTTGTTACCCACCTCCACACCTTCCAGCTTCCCATTTTTAACGGCCTCTGAAACCAGCCCATTTAGACCCTCTGCAATAATCAAAAACAGAAACGGAGATAGAGGGTCCCCCTGCCTTAGACCTCTTGTCACTTTGAATTGCCTACTTGGACTGCCATTAACTAGGATTGATACCAGGCTAGATCGAAGGCATTCTTGAATCCACAATCTCCATTTCTCACAGAAACCCATCTTCTGCATCATGTGATCAAGAAAAGACCAGCTTACTTTATCATAAGCTTTCTCGAAGTCTATTTTGAATAAGAATGCTTTCTTCTTTTTCTTTTTTACTTCGTCAATCACCTCATTTGCTATAACTACTCCATCCATCAGCTGTCTTCCCTTAAGGAAAGCCATCTGTTGTTCTCCGATTACGTTCTCAAGCACCTTCTTCAGCCGGTTGGCTAAAAGCTTAGCCAAGATTTTATATATCACTCCAATAAGAGAAATAGGTCTATATTCCTCAATCTGAACTGGATTTTCTACTTTTGGCACAAGGACAATAAAAGAAGCGTTTAGACCTCTCACCAGTTTGCCATTTGCCTGGAATTCTTGCAGGAATCTCACCACATCATCTTTAATTACATCCCATTCAGATTTGACAAACCTGAAATTGAATCCGTCAGGACCTGGGGCCTTCGAGCTGTCACATTCTCCTACTGCTACCTTTATCTCATCCTCACTGAAGGGAGAAATAAGGGTGTCATTATCTTCCCATGTAAGTTGCTTGAAACCCAGCCCATCGAGCCTTGGTCTAACCCTCTTCTCCTCAGCATACAGATCCTCAAAATAACAAGCAATTTCCTCTTTCATTTTGTTGACATCCCTGGTTTGAACCCCTTTTATTTGTATGCTATTCATTTCTGACCTTCTCCATCTGCCCTTCACGCAGTTGTGAAAGAACCTGGTATTGGCATCCCCCTGAGCCACCCAAGCTTTCCTTGATTTCTGTTGCATCATGCTCTCCTTGCTTTTCAAACTCTCCCAAATCTGAATGAACGCTTCTCTTCTCCTCTCAATTTCTTCCTCTGACAGATGCGCCATTTCCCCCTTCATATCAATTTTGGCGATGTCGGAAGTAGCATTATTTATTCTAATATCCAATGCTGGAATTAGATTTTTGCTCCACTTCCTTAAAGCTTCCTTGGTTGTCTTCAACTTTTCTTTGAGACGGAAGCCTGCCCACCCTTGGATTTGGGTGTCATTCCACACTTCTTTAATCAACTTACTACATCCTTCTTGTTCTAGCCAAGAATCGAAGAACCTGAATGGCTTTGGGCCCCACTCAATGGTATGGTGTTTTAGTAAAATCGGACAGTGATCAGACACAGTTCTTCTCAAGCCCCATTGCCTGGCCTCTCCCCACTTCGATAGCCACCCTTCTGAGAGTAAGAACCGGTCGATTCTGCTCATATAGTTGCCTCTTGCTTGATACCAAGTGAACTTCCTACCCACTAATGGGATGTCAACCAACTTCATGGCCTGTATAAAACTGTCGAATTCTCTCATATCTCTGGTCACACCTGAGCTCCCCTTTCTTTCCTCTGCCTTTCTAATAGTGTTAAAATCACCCATAATGCAAATTTTTTCTCCCCCATGCAATACTTCAATACATTACAATTAAATCATCTCAACAAGTTCACATACAATAATATATCACACTTGAAACAGCATATACATACTCCCAGAAACAGAGGAAGCATCTTATTTCTACCACGAACCTGCTCAAGACTAAGCTATTTCTTGGGCACGAATTTGAGAAATCTCTGGCACAAATCATTGAAGGTTAGTGCTGCACATGTAGCCTTATCCTTATCTAAACAAATCTTTTATTTAGAAACTAATTAATATCATTTGAATTAAATCTTGTAAACTTTTATTTAGTTCTTTAAAAGAAACATCTAAGGGAAATTTAATGAAAAAAGGAAATAATAAATTGGGTAAGTCACTAAAATATCCATCTAGCTTGAAGTCATTTTATCTTTATCTTCAAAAAAAAAAAAAAAATTTAATTGACTTTTTCCGTTTAGTTTCAAATTTTAACATTTTCTATGTACAATTTTTTTTTTTTCAAATCTCTTCTTTGTTGTCGAATTTTAATCAATTTTGTTTCTCTCCTATTTCTTCATAGTACATTAAACGATGAGTTTTATAACAGAAAATAACTTTCACATTTCCCAAATCCCTCTCTATATGTTTCAAACTTTGAATTTAAGATCTTGAACAAGGAGTTCAATCTCTAAATCTCTAGGATGTTGCGTATGGACGTCTCTCTTATGATTCCTAACCTTGGCACATAATTATACACTTGGACTAATAGAGGTTCAAAATTGATGAAAATTGGATAGTCGATGGATAAAATTGACTAACAATTTTGTAGAAGGATAAAAATGATTAAAGTTTGAAATGAAAAAGGATAAATAGGCCACAAATAGTACATGTATAAAAATGACAAATTTTGATGTAAGAAGATATTTCATGACTTTTAATCCTTATCAATTTCCCTAAATGATTATCATTCTTTATGCTACTTTTTTTCATTATTATTACAAAGTTGAGCATTATTGTCAAACATTTGATTTTAGAACATAGGGGAAATATGATTCCTAGATTTTGTACTCATTTAAGCTCTCAATTTTCAAACCATGACTTCACATAAGAAGAGTAAAAGCATGTAATTTTCTCAGAAACAAGATAATTTTATGAAAAGATACATAATAGGGAAAATATTGAAGGAAATGGGTCATAATCCTACTCTAAAGAAGAGCAAATAAAATGGCTAGGAATGCTTTTTCCTTTTTCCTTAACGTGGCTATACAGTGAGTAATAGCCTTCGAAAAACTTCAACAAGTAACTCTTCTTCCTTCTATAAATTCATCAACAAATTCTTTAATGTTATGGAAGCAAGGAGAACTTGTTCTCAAAAGGTTAAACGATGTTGTTTTTGAAGAAAAATTTTGCTTTCACAATTTGGTTTCTACTATTTCTTGAACCTCATAGCCTTGCTTCAAATGAATACATCTTTGTGGTAAGTGCCTCGTTTCCCGCTTCTACATACTACACAATTTGAGTGAAGGACACTTATGAAGCTTATCTTACTAGGTAAGAGAAGCTCCGTACAAGAGACTCTGTAAGAGAAAGAAGATCGATCTTGACAGTAAATGGACAATATCCAGGACCAACATTACAAGTTCAGAAAGGCGACGCATTGTTTGTCAATGTTAAGAACAAAGTCAAATCCAACATCACAATTCACTGGTACATTTTTCTTTTATTGGCTTTGAAAGAAAAGGTTCACAAAATACAAAGGAAAAATAGAGTCGAGGAAGAGGAGATTACACAATTCATTCACTCCTTTTTTCCATGGCAGTTAATTTCTTTCATTTCTTCTTAACCCATGAATGAAATCTTTTGTAGGCATGGAGTAGAACAACCTAGGAATCCATGGTCTGACGGTCCCGCATACATCACACAATGTCCTATCCAACCCGGAAAGAGTTTTCGACAAAAGTCACATTTTCCGTGGAAGGAACACTATGGTGGCATGCTCACAATAATTGGGGGCGCGCCACGGTTCACGGGGCCATCATTGTCTACCCAAAATTTGGAACCACATATCCTTTTCCTCCACCCCATGTTGAAGTGCCCATAATCCTAGGTATTAATTCTACCATAAAGTTTATCATTGGGCAATCTCTTAACCAATTAATAAATGATTTGTGATCTGGATGATTTTGGTAGGAGAGTGGTGGAAAAAAGATATTCCTGATGTGTATAGAGAGTTTATTCACTCAGGGAGGAGACCCCAATGTCTCTGATGCCCTCACAATAAATGGTCAGCCTAGTGACCTTTATCCATGCTCACCATTAGGTATATCTTTGTAGTTTAGAATAATCTTCCAACCACCACCGAAATGACATCGTTTGAATTGAGGTCATTTTTTGTTCAAATTAATTAAGGCATATCCTCTAAATCCACCTCTTAAATAGGTGGGTAGAGTTAGATCCATCTTTTAAAAAAATATAAAGATAAATTACCCTTTTAAATTATCAATTAAGACAAATCATCTTTTTTTTAATATGTGACATCAATTTTTCATTAAAAAATGTTTAGGTAACAAAAAAAATTTTAACATCACAATTAAAAAATAATTGATTTATCTTGATCAATAATTTAGAGAGGCAATATTTATCCTTGTATTTTTTTAAGAGGCATATTTGTCCCTACCCACTTATTTGAGGGGTAGATTTGGGAGTTTCACCATTAATTAATCTTAGTAAGTGTCTATACGAAGTCAAGTAATAACGGATCCCTGATCTCAACTGCTTGTGCTTTGTCAGCAGCAAAAACATGTGACTCCATTTCATATATGGATTTATCTTGTTCTAATACTTTACATTTATAGGTACATTCAAGCTAAGGGTGGACCAAGGAAAAACATATCTACTTCGCTTGGTAAATGCTGCAATGAACACCATTCTCTTTTTCTCTGTTGCAAAACATAAGTTGACTGTTGTCGGGATAGATGGCAGTTACACGAAGGCATTGACCAAAGAATTCGTGACGATTTCTCCAGGACAAACCATGGATGCCTTGCTTGAAGCTAAACAAAAACCTAGTCAGTATTACATGGCTACTAGGGCTTATTCAACTGGGTTTAATGTTCTTTTTGATAACACCACAACCACTGTAATAGTACAGTAGAAAGGACATTATACATCTCCTTCTTCCCCTTCCATGCCATATCTTCCTAATTACCCTGATTGAATTGCAGCTTTCTCCTTTTTGGGCAGTCTAAGAAGCTTAGCCAATGAAGAACATCCAATCGACATCCCTTTAGACATCCAAACTCAAATGATTCTAACACTTTCTGTTAATGCTTTTCCTTACCCACATGGAAATGCTCCATCTTCATGTCAAGGTCCAAACGTGACAAGATTAGCAGCAAGCATGAACAACATAAGCTTCATCACTCCATCCATCGACATTTTATGAGCTTATTATAAGCACATAAATGGGGTCTTTGATACTCAATTTCCAAACTTACTTCCATTAGCATTCGGTTTTACAGTGCCATATATGCCATTGATTTTTGAATTACCTAATACAGGAACAAAGGTGAAGGTGTTGGAACATAATACCACAGTGGAAATTGTTTTTCAAGGGACAAACTTGGTTGCCGGGATTGATCACCCTATGCATCTCCATGACTATAGCTTTTATATCATTGGATATGGCTTTGGGAATTTTGATGAAGAGAAAGACCCTTTGAACTATAATTTAGTTGATCCTCCACCTCAGAATACCATGACTGTGCCCATTAATGGCTGGTCTACCATTAGATTCTATAAAAAGAAAGTCACAAGCATTAACATTGCAGAAATTTGGCAAGAAAGCAAATAAGGAAACTGTGCAGAAATCAGGCAAGAAAGCAAACAAGGAAGCTGAAATTATTATTACAGAAATCAAGCAACCGTCCAGTAATCAAGCTAAGATCATGAAATAGAATACATTTCTTATATTTAATTAAAAAATCTTATTTTATAATTTAAATTATATCAAATTATAAAATAAAAATAATTGAATGAGGAAAGAGCTTTTAATATTAGAAGCGTCCTATTTCTATCTAATAATTAATATAGTGTAATCTAATACAGATCAGACTTGTAGTGATAGTGATGGTAATGATAGAAGTTTGAAGTCACGTACCTTGGATGAGCTAAGTTATTCTAGACAACCTCTAGTTGCCTTGGCGCTACTTTGGAGCTTAACAAGCTTAGCTGAGTTTGAGTTCGAGTTCATCCCCTCTAACCTCACTCTAGAGTAGCTTTGTACATACGCAAATTTTTTATTAAAGATTTTTGCAATGATTGACACACATAAATTCAATTTTTCGTAAAGATGAACACGTGAACACAATTTTGAAGACTATAAATACCTCTAAAGGTAATTGAAACCTATCTCAAGTCTTCTTTTGCTTTCTTTCTAGCATATTTTATTATTGTATTTTTAATATAAAATTTTTCAACTCAATACATCCTTCTTGCCACCTATTAGTACTACTTGAAGAGAGAGGTAGGGCTAGTGAGACACCCAAGTAGCATGCCAAATACCATTCCCTATGTTTTAATACTAACCAAAGGCTGTCACTTATACACATATCAAATTATAAAATAAAAATAATTGAATGAGGAAAGAGCTTTTAATATTAGAAGCGTCATATTTCTATCTAATAATTAATATAGTGTAATCT